CGATACGTATCGTATCGTGAAATTTCTGTATCGTCACACCTCTAGTAATCAATCTTCAGTATAAACTACAAGGAATCACAAATCAAATTGACAGAGACAGTCTCGTCACTCTGAACGTCATTCCTGTGATTGCCGTTCTCGAGGACAATATCAAGGCTCACATCTAACAGGATCTTACTCTCAGCCACGGTAAACTAACTCTCAGCCAGCCTGTCAGTACAAACATCAAATATTCAAAACCCTTTCTACGCCATGTTCCATACTCTACTCTCGTGGTGTCTCGCGAGACCAGGTCAGTGCAGGATCAATTAAAGGTCGAGGTCTGAGGTTTGAGAAGAACAACACGTGTTATTGTTTACGTTTGAGGGTTCTACTTGTACACACCTGATGTGAATGAACGGTGCCTTTCATCTTTACACGTGTGTCTATATGAGGGAAGTAGTTATCAACTAGCAAATACGCTGAACTGTAACTGTGTGGTAGTAGTGAAATCTTCACTTGTTTTTCGGGGCGGTTGGGTAGCCTGGTGGTTGAAGCGTTCGCTCGTCACGCCCGGGTTCGATTCCCCACATGGGGTGGGCGATAATACCGGTTTACTGGTATATTGCAATTCGAGCTTCACAATATGATATATTGCGGTACATTTCTCGCGAACCGGTTCACACGATACGATCGGTAATTTTATTGATGTAGTTAAAACTACTAATAACATTTGTATTTCCTTTATATTATTATACATTAATAGTTTTGAGAATGTTTATTGGTTATATAATTGCATTTACGTGACTTTTAAACCATATAAATAAAAATATAGATTGGTACCAGCACTCGTTGTAAGGATAAGTAAACCAAAATGGCGGACGCCGCTGCAGACGCTTTTTCTCGAGTCCCAAACTTTGAAGCAAAGTCTTCAATTTGGAAGCATTTTCAATTGATCTCTTGTACAATCACATCTGAGTCCTGACAGTGGCCAGTGGCATTGTTTCAAAAGAAAGGAAACAAAATTTCATTACCTTAAACAATGTGTTACACTTTCACAATATATTGCAATACATATTGCAATACGCCAACACATATCACAATATATCGCAATACGAAAATTGTGGCAATACCCAACCCTAATGGGTACAATGTGTTAGCCCAGTTCTGGTGTCCCCCGCCGTGATATTGCTGGAATATTGCTAAAAGCGGCGTAAAAGTAAACTGACTGACTGACTCACTCACTCACTTGGATTGTCATCTCCATCTTGATACTCCACATGTACAGATAAACATTTTATGAAGAGTGAAACGAGGTATGAGTAGTATGCAGTGACGGGTGACGTCACTCGCGACAATTATGTAGCTGCGCCAAAACGGTCATGCGAATAGAAAAATTATACATCAATTCAATGCTAAGATGGTGTGATTTTAGGGTGTGTGCGACGCATTACTGCGCCCGTTCATGTCATACACCATCCATCTTACAACCCGTTCAAAAAACCTGCCGAACCCTTTCGCTCTTCAGATACCTTATTTCCTGGAATAAGCGCCCGAGCGCTTATGTTTTCAATGGATTTCCAGACCCGGTGCTTATTAGAGGCCCGGCGCTTGTTGGAAACTTATTGCGCTTCTTGGGTGTAATTACCGTAAGTGTTAGTGAACTGCTTTACCCCCAGCGCTTATTAGAGCTCCGGCGCTTATTAGAATTCCGACGCTTATTAGAGGTCCGGCGCTTATTAGAGGAAATACGGTACGTTTTGAAACCACTCGCTGTGAGATGAATAGTATCTGACAGCCCCTCTTGTTGCAATCTCTGTATGTAAACTATATTGGCATACCGACAACGCAATGATTCACTGATACAGAAGAAACAAGATGTGATAAGGGTTCTTTTCAGACAACAAAATTGCATAATTAAAGAAATAAGAGGAAACCTTTTCGAATCATTATGAGAGTTATATGCTCGCATGCATGAGAATTTGTCTTGGTTCATTTCAACTATTGCATGTTTTCGGCTTCCAAGAATATGGTATTTTAGGCTGCATTCTGTCAATTGGCTAATTTGTTCAGCTTTAAGAAAACGTTATTGTTGTGTTTTGATGATGAGCAAGTCCTTTCCCCGAGCTGATATTCCTTGGAAATGTAGATAAATAACAACCAACATACGTGTGTGAGGAAGCATCGATCTACCTGCCCTTACCTGCAGTTTCTTGTGCGAAATATCGGCCTTTTTCTCAAACTATGATGATAACTTATAAGTGTAAGAGGGAGTGAGTGAGTTTAGTTTCACGCCGCGTTTAGCAATATTCCAGCAATATGGCGGGGGACACCAGAAATGGGCTTCACACATTGTACCCATGCGGGGAATAGAACCCGGGTCTTCGACGTGACGAGCGGACGGTTTAACCACTAGGCTACCCCGCCGCCCCACCAAGCGTAAGAAAGAACAAGAGCCCGTCATGTCAATTTACATGTCCAGAGGGTCCAACGTCCTTTGGCTGCTTTGTTCTCTGTTAGGATCATCACTGTGACTCACGATGCTCTGTGGCATTGTTGAAACAGCGTTAAACAGAGCCCATTTACCCAAAAATTTAGAAAAGGAAATGTTGCATAATGATGCTATTTATGAATAAAGGTTTCATTAACTACCTCCATGTTTCATTTCTGGTCTTCAGTAACCCATGCTTGTCGAAAGAGGCGACTAACGGGATCGCATGGTCAGGCCGCTGACTGGGTTGACACATGTCATCGTACCCCATTTGCGTAGAACGATCCTCACGATGTTGATCACAGGATTGTCTGGTCCAGAATCGATTATTTACAGATCGCCGCCATATAGCTGGAATATTTGCTGAGTGCGGCGTAAACTCACTCACTCACTCACTATATTTCATTTCACTTAAATATTCATCCACGGTCGTGTGTGGAGTGACATGAATGTTTGATATCTCACAAGCAGACGGGGGTCAAAACACCCTACTTACTGATGACCTCATTCGTGACCTGATGATTGGAAGAACTAGCAACATCCCTAGTATCTTGAATTATGTACCAAATGATACTGGATTGGACCTGATTGGTACGAATGCCTGTCGCAATGTACTGGATATCTGCTTCGATATTTCGAAATAAACAGATCGCCGTAGCATGTCTTGGAGAGACTGAAAGTGGTTTATTATTTATCAGATTGGACCGTATGGACATTGTGTTAATCATGCTGTTGTTTATATACTGGCTAAGCCCTAGACTTGTGTGCGATTCCCAAGGTTCCAATTAGTACACCCCTGCAAATCCCACAATACCACAGACGCACCGGAGAGTGAGTCTTGCTTTACGCCGCAGAACGGGTGACGGGGTGAACTGGGTTTAATGTAGTGTTTATCATATTGTTTATACGGCGGCGGACATTACCCCAAAGTTATATCTTGTAGTGGGAAACATATTTACTGTGCATGTACACTGCTAATATCCGTTTTAAGTGGATCACGGTTGGGACATACATACAGTCTCGATATAACATCTCGGTCCCGGCAAAATCCTTCATAATGTATCATTATTCAAGCTCTTTTAACTCGATACGGATGTCTCGATATTTCGGATATCTCGATATAATTTCATCGTCCCAACAAACAAAATTACCCTTTTAACTCGATATTTGCAAAGAAACTCGATATTCACCTATCTTCCATGGACAAGTATCCCTCTGAACTGAGGTTGTTTCCACACGTTTACACAGGGTGCGGTATGAATCAAAGGGATGCTGTAGTGTAAACTACAATTGAGTTGAAGGTGTCACTTGTTTGTTTTTCAGTTGGGATCAATTAAGAAGGAATTAATTAGGAAGCACTCACTGTTACGACTAAACACTACTGATAACGGATTATAGTTTCGAATCAAACATACTGAGAAGCGTTTGGTTTTCTTTCATAGTGATACGTATGTGTATTAGTGGTGGTCCGATTAATTGAAATAATCGAAGATTGGTCGTAGTGACTAAACGACCAAGCAATCGATCATAATTTCTCATAATCGAACACAAACAATTCTGGAACACTTGTTTTCATTAACAATAGTTTTCACATGGTTGGTTTTGTCTGTTACATTTCGTAAGCACTGCAATCTCGTTTCAAGTCATGATTGAATTTATCTTAAAGATTCCAAGAAATTTATCTTCCCAACATACTATCCAATATCAGACCAACTCTGTGAGGTTTTTTTGCAGAATTTATGTCCTGAAAATAAAAAAGTTGTTTAATAAACTATCATTAAAATTTTGACACAGTTCACTATTTGTTACGAGGGAGGAGAGCAAAGAGAGGAACAGCCAGGTGTACGCGGAGCAGGTGCACAAGTGCCGACAGAGCTATTGATTCATTTGCCAGAGCTGTGCCGTATCCATCCTTTCTCGCACACCTGGCTGTTCCTTTCTCTGCACTCCTCCCTCGTACCAAATAGTGAATTGTGTAAATATTTTAATGATAGTTTGTTAAACAACTTTTTTATTTATAGGACATAAATTCTCAAAAATACTCACAGAGATGGTCTGATGTTTTTATTATGATCAGCGTTTCATTGAGTATTATTTGTTTATCAGTTTCGAGTTAGATCGCAATTCATCGGTCCGCTTTTGAGCCAAACGGACTATACCATATAACGTTTTGAAAGCTTTACTGAGGCCTTGAATCGAACAACTTCTGAGCAAGAGTCACATGACGATCTTTGAAATCTTGGTGAAAAGAACATGTTCGATTGTAACTCAAAAGTGGTGAAATACCATTTTCACAAGGTTACTCCCTTCTCCTCTTCCCCTACTCCTCTTGCCACCCCCACCCCTCAACTGTCAACCCCCTCCTTCCCACTGATGAAAGTGAAGCTATATATTACCCTTCTGTATTCACCGTGTGTTACTCTACCCATCTCCCCATCTCTTGCAACCTCTCTCCCCTTCCTTCCCAATGCCGACAGTGAAGCTACAGATTACCCATCTGTGTTCACCTTAATGTTGGTCTCTTCCCCAGGAAGCAAGTGGGCGAAGACGGACTTGACGTACAGAATCACCATGTTCAGCCGGGAACTGTCCAGGCCGCAGACTATAATGGAAGTTGACAGAGCATTAAAGGTAAGCCATGGTGTCTCTGTGAACGTATGGCGTTGTCATAGCGTTAAATGTAAGCATAGCGTTTCAGTGGACGTGTGACGTTGTCATAGCGTTAAAGGTAAGCCATGGCGTTTCAGTGGACGTGTGACGTCATAGCGTTAAAGGTAAGCCACGGTGTCTGTGGATGTATGACGATGTCACAGAGCGAGCTCTTAAGGCTGCTGCTTTAGTGTCTACAGTGTCGCAGTGTCGAACTCTGATCAATGTTGCTGCAATGTCTAAAGTCTAGCGATGTCGACTTCAGATAGTTTTATAATGTCGCAGTGTCGAACTCTGATCAATGTTGCTGCAATGTCTAAAGTCTAGCGATGTCGACTTCAGATAGTTTTACAATGTCACAGCGTCGAACTCTGATCAATGTTGCTGCAATGTCTAAAGTCTAGCGATGTCGACTTCAGATAGTTTTATAATGTGACAGTGTCGAACTCTGATCAATGTTGCTGCAATGTCTAAAGTCTAGCGATGTCGACTTCAGATAGTTTTATAATGTCGCAGTGTCGAACTCTGATCAATGTTGCTGCAATGTCTAAAGCCTAGCGATGTCGACTTCAGATAGTTTTATAATGTCGCAGTGTCGAACTCTGATCAATGTTGCTGCAATGTCTAAAGTCTAGCGATGTCGACTTCAGATAGTTTTATAATGTCGCAGTGTCGAACTCTGATCAATGTTGCTGCAATGTCTAAAGCCTAGCGATGTCGACTTCAGATAGTTTTATAATGTCACAGTGTCCAACTCTGATCAATGTTGCTGCAATGTCTAAAGTTTAGCGATGTCGACTTCAGATAGTTTTATATATGTCACAGTGTCGAACTTTGAATGCTATCGTTACGGTGCTGACGGTGTCCTGATATAAAACGTGGTCGACATAGGGAGGTTTCGAAGGTCTTATGTCGAATTTCGTAGAAACAGCCTGTCTGATATTCCCCTTAGCAGACCTTGGCGAACCCTCAGATGTGACATCCAGCTCAGCTCAATAATATAATTCAACTGAAATAATAATGCTTCAGTCCAATAGTGAAAACATAAAAGGTGAACTCAACGCAGATATGCCGTTAATAGTCATCCAGCAGAGAGTGTTTACTGATCGTCGGTTTTGACCGCGTCCGTTGTCTAATTGTGAGACACGTTGTCTAAAGGTGAGACACATTGTCTAATGGTGAGACACGTTGTCTAATGGTGAGACAGTCAGTACGGAGCCCGAACGTTCGGTAGTTCTATCCTTGGCAACGTAATACCAAAAGACGTTAAAAGATATTAATGGCTACTCCGACTGGCGTACTGCATTAAAGAATGAAATAAGACTTGTCCACTCGGAGTCAGTATGCTTCTTCTCGTCACATATCATCACAGTAGCACAAATCATGGTGTCTCAGTTAGAAGGGATACATTAGTCCACCACAGAAAGAGGAAGCCCCAAACTCCAGACATATAACCCGGCGCTGTCTCCAGGAGACTACTGATTGGCTTCACGATGCCACATGGAATGGTAGATTTCATGATTCTACAGACATGTAAATCGGGGTTCATCTCCTTGGTCGGGCGACCAGTTCCAGTCTTCATCAACACAATGCAATAAATGCCACGTGAAACCGAGATGATGTTTTTACTTTAATGAGTTATTATTATTATATCAATTCCATCATAAAACTAGAGTTACCAGACGAGCTAAGTATTGTTTAAATGGTCTACTCGAATTATTTGCAGTCCCAGTAGCGCATGTCTCGTCTACGGCGCTGTCCCGAGCAGTCGAGATAAACAAACTACCATTGCTATTAAATAAAACCAATTATTCATAATAAAGCAATTATGTATCAATTTGGCGTTTCGGTTTCAGGTATGGAGCAGAGTGACGCCGTTACGATTTACAAGACGAGATCATGGCCCTGCTGATATAGAAGTCAAATTTGTCAGTCGTTCCCATGGTGACGGTAATCCTTTTGATGGGCGGGGCAGAACACTCGCGCATGCGTTCTTCCCCCAATATGGCGGCGACGCCCATTTTGATCTGGATGAGCCGTGGACTATCTCAGTGCCAGATGGTATGTATACTAAAGATTGTGCTGTTGTATTACTAAATAGATTCAGTTATTGGGCATATAGTATTTGAACTTTGGTCTTGTTGAATACATTTACACATAACTTATTCTCTTGCTGTTCAATACATAGCTCTATATTCAGTTTAAGGTGTCTTTCCTGAACCCCAGTAAAACCTTTGAAAAAAAGGAAAAAACTACTTTGGTAACGTACAATGTGATCGATCGATCTCTCCCACCTGATTACCTCCCATATGTTTCAGGCATAAACCTATTCCAGGTGGCAGCACATGAGTTTGGTCACTCGCTTGGCCTTGCGCACTCTGACGTCAGTTCCGCTTTGATGGCCCCTTTCTATCGGGGCTTCCAGAGATCATTTAGCCTGGATCCAGATGATGTGGCTGCAATACAGGAGTTGTACGGTAAGTCGAGTGTCCGTTCTATGCGGGTATAGGGTTCCTGAAGGCCACCCTCGAGCGACTGCGCCCAACACCGAACCCCTTCTTTTGGACACCATATATTACACATATGATGGTGTTTCTGGTTAACCAAGAGAATCTCATTTCAGAACAGTTTGTGCCAAACACCTTCAGTCCATACCCGGTCATACAGATGAGAATCTCATCCCTGATCATACAGGCATAGCTGTAACCATGAGAATCTCATCCCCGAGCAACCGTGCCGACACACACACACCCTGTCATACAGGCATAGCTGTAACCATGAGAATCTCATCCCCGAGCGACCGTGCCGACACACACACACCCTGTCATACAGATATAGCTGTAACCATGAGAATCTCATCCCCGAGCGACCGTGCCGACACACACACACCCTGTCATACAGATATAGCTGTAACCATGAGAATCTCATCCCCGAGCGACCGTGCCGACACACACACCCCTGTCATACAGATATAGCTGTAACCATGAGAATCTCATCCCCGAGCGACCGTGCCGACACACACACACCCTGTCATACAGATATAGCTGTAACCATGAGAATCTCATCCCCGAGCGACCGTGCCGACACACACACACCCTGTCATACAGATATAGCTGTAACCATGAGAATCTCATCCCCGAGCGACCGTGCCGACACACACACACCCTGTCATACAGATATAGCTGTAACCATGAGAATCTCATCCCCGAGCGACCGTGCCGACACACACACGACCGTGCCGTCATACACACCCTGTCATACAGATATAGCTGTAAACCATGATATAGTCTGTAACCATTTCAGAACTGTCAGAATCTCAATCCCCCGAGCGACCGTCAACACACACACCGTGCCAAACACCTTCATTCCACACCCTGTCATACAGATATAGCTGTAACCATGAGAATCTCATCCCCGAGCGACCGTGCCGACACACACACACCCTGTCACACAGATATAGCTGTAACCATGAGAATCTCATTTCAGAACTGTCATAGTAAACGCCTTCATTCCATACTCGGTCATACAGATATAGCTGTAACCAAGAGAATCTCATTTCAAAACTGCCGTGCCAAACACCTTCATTCCATACCCTGTCATACAGATATAGCTGTAACCATGAGAATCTCATCCCCGAGCGACCGTGCCGACACACGCACACCCTGTCACACAGATATAGCTGTAACCAAGAAAATATCATTTCAGAACGGCCGTGGCAAATACCATCATTCCATACCCTGTCACACAGATATAGCTGTTACCAAGAGAATCTCCTCCCCGAGCGACCGTGCCGACACATACACCCCCTGTCATACAGATGTTACTGTGTTTCAGGTCCCCGTAACGACGTGAAACCCATCCCCGAACGACCACGCCCCACCGAGGGACCAAAGATCACCATTCCCAGTATATGTCGAGACCCTTCCGTCGACGCCATAACACAGAACGCGGACGGCTTTACGTACGTTTTTAAAGGTGAGATGCTCTTAATTGCCTTACAATGATGATCTTTACCATGTCATGGCCATTTTCAGTGAACATTGAAAATGATAAGCTACCCGTGTTGGCATAAAGAGTCAATTCTTGTAACTTCTGAAACTGATGTTAACTGTCAGAATTTGACAACTGATGTTAACTGTCAGAATTTGACCAATCTGACCCCTAAGAATGGGTATTTGATCTTGAGCTGGGCTACTACATGGTCAAACAGGTATCTGACCATGGATGACGCTCCTATCTGACCATGGATGACAATCCTATCTGACCATGGATTACAATCCTATCTGACCATGGATGACAATCCTATCTGACCATGGATGACAATCCTATCTGACCATGGATAACAATCCTAACTGACCATGGATGACAATCCTATCTGACCATGGATGACAATCCTATCTGACCATGGATAACAATCCTATCTAACCATGGATGGCAATCTTTGGGTTGCTTTCGATTAAACGGGTTTTCGACCAGGTTTGACAATGCTCTCTACTGTGAGCAGTGCTATTACAAACACAATGGGTATCTCACCACGGTTGACCATGCCATTTCAAGGAAGGCTACTATAGGTTAGTGGCTCCCTGGCCATGCTTAATTATGCTCCCTTGAGCAGGGCCACTACCAACTAAACGGATAGCTCAAAATGGTAGACCATGCTGGTTTAAAGAAGGGCTGCTATAGGTTTAATGACTGTGACCATGCTTGATAATGCTTCTTTTAGAGCAGTGCTACTACACGGACCAAACGGGTATCTCACCATGGTTGGCCTTGCTGTTTCAGGTCGGTACTACTACCGGTTGAACGGGAAGGGGATCGAACCCGGTTTCCCCAGGGAAATCTCCTGGGACTGGGTGGAGGTGACCGGGCCGATAGATGCCGCTCTACACTGGAATAATGGCTATACCTTTCTCTTCAAGGTAAGAACTACGTGCTATTCTCGACTATTTGTACGACATAACGGTCACGACCACGGCGGTGACGAGCACGGTGCGTTAACCTTTGACTACACCCGTGTAAATACACACGGGAGAGATAATGTAGATCCTGGTTAATCATCTTAGGTCAGAAAATTATGTGTTCGAGTCTGGAGGAGGCAAACCAAGATAATCTTTGTCATGTTCGGATCACCATGGCAACCGTGACATATTTTATTCAAATAAGTTATGTAATTAAAAACCTCCTTTTTGTGCCTGTTAACTAGATTTGTATCATGGATACCTTTCTGGTAGGTCATAATTATCCTGTAGACACACAGTCTCAGTTACACAAATGGCACTCCAATATCGTGATCTCAGCTGGGGCATTGTCAGCCTTAAGGGGGCGAAAGGTTAGCCTAGTGGTTAAAGCGTTTACTCATCACGACGAACACCCGGATTAGTTTTCTCACATGAGTGCAATGTCTGAAGCCCATTTCTGGTGTCGCCAGATATTGCTGGAATATTGCTAAAAGCGGCATAAAAAACATGCTCACTCACTCACTCACTCAACCTTAAGACACAGACAATGGTCCTGTCTGCCTGACCATGGTCCTATCTGTCATTGTGGACACTCGAGCCTCAGTATACAGTTTATTCGGACATATCGGACCTTCTAAAAGTATTCTGAAGAATTCTAAACGTCTTTAAGTGAGTAAGTTTAGTTTTACGCCGCAATATTACAGCAATATGGCGGCGGTCTGCAAATAATCGAGTCTGGGCCAGGCAATCCAGTGATCAACAGCATGAGCATCGATCTACGCAATTGACGTCTTTAAGTAATAGCGAGAACATTACTCCAACAATGATTTGTATGTCGGGATGCTTTCAGTTGATCATGGTTTAGAGATGTTAATGTAATTTTCAAGTTCCAGTTATCCCAGCATCTGCTCGGTTTTGTTCAGCTAATGCGGATTTAAAATAATGCGTAATGAGCGGACAAAACACGTTTCGTGACACAGAAAAATGTCAGTGGCTTTCTGATTGAGATCTAAGAGATATCAGGCTTGCTCTACACTGCATTTCACAGTTAGCACCGGGCTTTATGTCATTCTGCGTTACGGGAAGAGTCAACAGCATTAAATGGACGCCATTGTGTTGTATATAGATTATCCCCACTTCAATAATACATTCACTGAAGTGTGAAGCATGGCCAATGGCCCAAGCTCAAAAGAGGGCGCCACTGAGACGCGTCGTCATGGCAACCAGAACGTCAGGTCCCGCTAACTCCGGTGTCTGACGTCACTATGTCAGATTACCACAGTAACTGTTACGTATTTGCTGATATGTTTTTCAGTTATTACTCGCGTGAGGTGTTTAACTCGCCAGCCGCCTCCCGAACCCTCTCGCACCTCGCCGCTCGGTAGAAAGAGATACTTTCACACTGACTCTAAGTGAAGGGATCGATAGTCCTACACTAGCCAGACTCTACACACTGCTTGCTCTGATGACGCAGTGCAGAGCTCAAGGGTCTCCAACCACCGATTTGCACACATTTGGGAGGTCAAGTTTCTCCAAGTTAGATAAATTGAATTCCTTGAGTCAATCGTCCAGGGACGCCAATAGCCACGTTAGATGCAATTTGCTGGCGGCAAAGGAAGGTCGTTTGTCGGAAGGGACGAGTAGGGCTCCATGCATGGTCGCTGAAGAGAAACCCAGTCGTATCTGAACAAGGAAATCAGTTTAGGCCCCCACAAATACACATACCCATCACTGCCACTGCAGTCGCGTCAGATAGTCCAGCTGTATTGGGGCGGTGGGGTAGCCTACTGGTTAAAGCGTCCGCTCGTCACGCTGAAGACCCGGGTTAGATTCCCCACATAGGCACAATGTGTAGAGCCCAATCTGATGTCCCCCGCCGTGATATTGCTGGAATATTACTAAAAGCAGTGTAAAACCATGCTCACTCATTCACTCATTCCATTTGTGTCATGGTGGTCTTCTTGATGCGGGATGGAAACCCGAAGTGGTGTAGGTTTCAGACGTTTGTTTATCACTTCGGTGAAACCACAAACATCGGTATAGTGCTGACAAATCTAGAAACAAGATCATGGAAACCTTGATCATAGGTTCCCGGTGCGACAAAGGGAGGCAACTCAGCAAATTTAGACGCTTCAGTCTTATGGGCCACCCTTGTCCTAGTAACGAAGAGAGCACGGTCTCTATTGAAGTTCTTATATTATAAACGTTCCTCTAAAAGTTCAGACAACAAGGTACTCTACTTAGTGCTGAGATTGGCACGATGTCTTTCGGAGGACAGGCATGACATGTACTGGCATTGATTTCATGTGTCATTATACAAACGTACTCAAGTTCTGGCATTGTTGCCATGTCTTTCAGAGAATCTTTACTTTATGGATGTAAGTTCGTGTTTTTAAAAGCTATTGAGTGAGTGAGTTTTTCTCCACACTCAGCAATATTCCAGCTATATGGTGGCGGTCTGTAAATAATCACGACTGGGCAAGACAATCCAGTGATCAACAACATGAGCATCGACCTACGTATTCAAAGTAAACGTACGTGGATGAATACACATTACATGATTTAGAAAGTGGTGAAATGTAACACATGTTATATTTGGAATTACATTTTCTTAAAAAGTGCAGATTCTAGTACTTGTGGGTCCCATCCTAATCGCCAGCACCCGTCAGCCGTCTAAGCCACTCCTAATCAGTTATTCCTGGATGGAACTCATCTCAGCAAAAGTGCTAGAATCTGTACTTTACTGAGAAAGTGATATCCGAAATATAACCAGCGTAACGAACGTGAAATTCGCGAACTATCGTCTTCTCTTTTAGAAAACATGGTACAGGTTTTGACGTTACTGACATATTTTAAGACAAAACTTACTTTCATGTTTTTCAGATGACACTTAAAATCTTTTTGAGGTATTGCCATGTGTTTCTGAGGAAGCTAACAATAATTTCTAAATTTATTACCGTATATTTCACAGGAAAATTACAGTACTTTCAGAGTTTAATGAAATGTCATTCTTACAAAACTATCAGTACGTTCTTACAAAACTATCAGTACGTTCTTACAAAAGTATCAGTACGTTGTTACAAAACTATCAGTACGTTCTTACAAAAGTATCAGTACGTTCTTACAAACCTATCAGTACGTTGTTACAAAAGTATTAGTACGTTCTTATAAAAATTATCAGTCCGTTCTTACATTATTGTCTTGTATTTTAGACGATATTTTCAGTAAGTCCTGATCTAGTTATTTGGTCTTTCTAGACGATATTTTCAGTAAGTCCTGATCTTGTTATTTGGTCTATCTAGACGATATTTTCAGTAAGTCCTGATCTTGTTATTTGGTCTATCTAGACGATATTTTCAGTAATAAGTCCTGATCTAGTTATTTGGTCTTTCTAGACGATATTTTCAGTAAGTTCTGATCTTGTTATTTGGTCTATCTAGACGATATTTTCAGTAAGTCCTGATCTTGTTATTTGGACGATCTAAGTCTAGACGATAGACGATATTTTCAGTAAGTCCTGATCTTGTTATTTGGTCTTTCTAGACGATATTTTCAGTAAGTCCTGATCTTGTTATTTGGTCTATCTAGACGATATTTTCAGTAAGTCCTGATCTTGTTATTTGGTCTATCTAGACGATATTTTCAGTAAGTCCTGATCTTTTATTTGGTCTTCTACGACGTTAGTAAGTCCTGATCTTGTTATTTGGTCTATCTAGACGATATTTTCAGTAAGTCCTGATCTTGTTATTTGGTCTATCTAGACGATATTTTCAGTAAGTCCTGATCTTGTTATTTGGTCTATCTAGACGATATTTTCAGTAAGTCCTGATCTTGTTATATTTTTCCTGATCTATCTTATTTTTAGTCTTTCTATATTTTCAATGTGTAAGTCCTGATCTTGATCTATTTGGTCTATCTAGACGATATTTTCAGTAAGTCCTGATCTTGTTATTTGGTCTATCTAGACGATATTTTCATATTTTCTAAGTAAGTCCTGATCTTGTTATTTGGTCTATCTAGACGATATTTTCAGTAAGTCCTGATCTTGTTATTTGGTCTATCTAGACGATATTTTCAGTAAGTCCTGATCTTGTTATTTGGTCTATCTAGACGATATTTTCAGTAAGTCCTGATCTTGTTATTTGGTCTATCTAGACGATATTTTCAGTAAGTCCTGATCTTGTTATTTGGTCTATCTAGACGATATTTTCAGTAAGTTCTGATCTTGTTATTTGGTCCTGATCTAGTTATTTGGTCTATCTAGACGATATTTTCTATCTTGTTATTTGATCTTTCTAGACGATTATTTGGTCTTTCTAGACGATATTTTCAGTAAGTCCTGATCTTAGACGATATTTTCAGTAAGTCCTGATCTTATTGTTTTGTCTTTCAGGGGGAAACTTACTGGAAGTTCCACAATTTCCGCCTCATTTACAGGAGGAAAATCACGGAGGGATTCCGCGGCGTACCCGATCACATCGACGCCGCCTTCGTCTGGAGCGGCAACAGCAAGACATATTTCGTTAAAGGTCAGTGAAGGTTCCGTGGAGGTATTATGACGGATATTTCTTTACAGGGTGGCTTAAATGATCGATAATCGGTAATATCGTCGATAGGTTTAGTTAATAGTGGTTATCGATATTAGAATTGTATTATCGATAATATCGTACATCAACTTTTGTCATAGGAAAACGTTTTTAATTTTCTCACACAATATACAAATTAGGCCTTTATTCATAATATAGTCTGCATATAAACTTTGCTCAGGACGCTGTTTTGGTAATAATCCATGCAAACACAATCTCACCACACCAGTGATGTGAAATATATAGAGATTATTCACCGGGTGTGTTTCCGTATCATTAATATCATATGTTAGGAATAAAAATTGTATTATGCGAGCCTTTGAAACGAGGTTAAATATCTCTTTATCATATAATGTCATTCTTTAAATTACTCTTAATTAAGAAGCAAATCGTACGTGAATTTATATGAAGAGAATCGAGCATTCGCATAAGAATATTTAGCGGTACACCAAGGTGAAGGTCGTTCATGACGGCGACCTATAGTTGTTACTAGTCGCTAATACAGTACAAACATAACCCATGCCTAAAATAAGATCTTTCTGTCTAAAAAGAACAACAAAATTGGGCAGGGTTTTCTTGGGAGTGTTTCTTTTTTCACTGCGGGTAATCATCTCATCAATATCAGTTTCTGATACCTGACGGAATCGATTCGTCGTCTGTATTGTAATCGATTGATCCAAATCCTTGGTTGGTACCTTTCTTAGACGATTGCCTTTCAGCCGTGCCTCGTAATCCGTACCTTCAATTTGAACGAAGTACTCCTTTTCGTGTTTTCCAAAGTCAGTTATTGCAGTAACGACTCCAGAACCTCTGTCATCAATTCTCACAGAATCACCAATTTTGAGAATGGGGGCAGCCATGTTTGTTTACAAACAATGTAAACTCGCGACGACGTCATCAATAAAATGTTAAACGTTGGCGTGTATGGAGTTTTCCGAAAGTAGTTCGTGGACTGACGTACTTTGCATAGTTATCAGATTTGGATACTAAGTTGATCAGAATGCTTTATTGCACCGATAACACCCTCCATTAGATGATAAATTCATTTCTGTCAGACGTTTTTGCTCAAACTTACGTCTCCGATACTTATCTAGTTAACGATTATCGACCTCTATGGACTATATCGAACCAGCCTTGTTTCTTTATGCATCGCTTTCACACTAACCTAGTGCAAGGCGGATATTTTTGTAAGTGTATTTCTTATACATATAATTTTATGACATTGTTGTTGTTTTTGGGTCTCTCTATAAATTTGCCAGCTATAAACCGCCGAAGTCACACAAAGTAAGTCACACTAAGGTGAGACCACATGTATCACATGTGCTTCGTTGTGGGGCAGGAGTGAAGTCCTAAAAACTCAGGAGTCAAGCTGCCAAACACGGTCACCCATCCAAGGACTCTCCGCGTCCAAAGTTGCTTAACTTCAACTGATTTGTGACCTAAGCTCTATGCACAGGAGCAAATCCCACCACTATATCCCCTCGGCTCCTCTGCCGCCCTGTAATAAAACGGCTTAAAGTATAAAGAATCACTATTCATTCTTGATAGTTTCACATATATCGGTTAGCAGTTGCCATTTGGTTATAACATAGCGAAATTCGGATAATTCGTTATCCTCCATATGGCGTGACGAATCAACGCTTAAACTGTCCCTACACGCCATAGGCCATATTCTTCAACTAACACGTTCATATAACCTAATTCCGATAATAAATCTGTAATATAAAAAGTAATTTTGGAAAGGTGAATGTTCCCAGCTGCATGTGCTTCACACGATTTGGGTTAATGTGCAATTTCTGTTACCGACGCCAAACTGACCTTCGGGGCATTCTGACGTCTAATGACGTTCCTGGCAAGGGCGGTGATGATGTCGTAAGTGGAAGTTCCTTATATGAAACCTGAAACCTGATATGGTTAATTTTCGTCAGTTTTATCGTCTCAGAATACTTTCTGAAACTTACACAGGGAAACCAGCACACGATACACGGTTCGGGATATAACCTATCCATGAAGGTGCGGGTTAAAATATTGGCCTTCAGTAACCCATGCTTGTCGTAAGAGGTTACTAACGGGATCGGGTGGTCAGGCTCGCTGACTTGGTTGACACATGTCATCGGTTCCCAATTGCGCATATCGATGCTCATGTTGTTGATCACTGGATTGTCTGGTCCAGACTCGATTATTTACAGAGGCAGTTAAACTGTTTTAGAGTTAATTGCTAGTTTTAAATTCGAATCTGTGATAATCTAGTTATTTTACTGTCCTTCGTTAACAGGTTTTTACAATTTACCATTAATTACCATGTATAAATTTAATTGTTCTCGTCACGATATGGCTGAAATATTGCCGATGTGACGATAGATTTAACTCACTCACTCCAAAGTGCTTGAAAGATTTTATGTCCTTTGTTCTAAAAGCACCAATTTGCCTGACACCAGAAAAAGTCTCACATATTGTAACCATTTGGGGAATCGAACCCGAGATTTCTGAGTGACTGAAGAGTGAACTCATTAACCAGCAGGCTAACCCACCGCCCGAGGTCATTTAGTACAATGAAGTAATACTTCAGTACGAGCTCCTGTTTCTATTGCATTTACTATCTAGAGGCGATGGGGTAGCCTAGTGGTTTAAGTGTTCGCTCATCACGCTGGAGACCGGGATTTGATTCCCCGCATGTGACGCCCATTTCTGGTTTCCTCCGCCTTGTTATTGCTGGAATATTGCTAAAAGCGGCTTAAAACTAAACTCACTCACCTCATTATTAACTGTTAGTTGCACCTGTTATATATACGGCCTAACACCGTTGGGTCGAATTTGGAGGGACCTACGCAAAAACTACCAGTTATCGGAGGTTCGACATATCCGTTAACAAGATGAATAAAGAATAAGAAATACGTGAGGGCCAAGCTTTTACGTCGAGAAAACCGTAACTCCGACATATCAACGTTCGAGACAACGGTTCACATGTAGATCACATAGGCAAATTTTGGCGTAGTGTTCCAACAGTTTAAATCAACCAGGCTTCCCTATAAAGTCAAGGTAAATTTAATAACCGAATTATAAGCTAACAATATTGACCATATAAACTGAAATAAAGTTTAGCAACAACATCAAAACGTGAACATAACGTCAAGCAGGTCAGTTGACGTTTCTGTATCTATTTTTATCCTGGGTTAAGAGGTCATATGAGGGTCAAGGTCGACTGGAAAGGCTTCATGCAGCGTACAACCGAATTAGTGTCTATATTTGATAGGCAACGGAATACCTCCAAGCGTAAAAAATTATCTAATTAAGAATCCTGTGAGTATCTTGAAAGCCATCATCCGAATGTAATTATTTCGATCATCTGTTAGCAATTAGAGTCTGTATTGTGTACTAACTGCTCTAACCCTACCTATAATACACTGTGCCAGAGTTTGGAGCTCGTGATTGAATTACCGCGATGCTTTTATCGGTGTCGATGACGTTGGACGCTGGTCACAAGTAGAGCAAACGATAGCTTGACACTGTCAAGTACCTGTACTGCAAATATAGTTGTTTAATTCTGGCTGAAAGCTTCGATATTAGATTTGGCCAGTGGAACTGAGTTATCTGTCTGGTCGTTCTAGTCGACCAATCAGGTGACGGTATGTTTCTGCAGTGTAGATGGCGGGGTTGTTGAATATGGCAGCTCACTACAGCGGGCCGGCTTAGCGTGTAGTGTGTATAATATACTCTGATTTGAAAGGGGATATTCTCGGGATGAAGTGACCCACGCATGCCTTTACTGTTTAACGCTTCACCCAGTAATATTGTAGCGATATGACGACAAACTGTTAATAACAGAACATAGACCAGACAATCCACTGATTGATAGTTTGAGCAAGGGACCGCCGTCGTTTGGATACAGATGCTATTAAATGCGCATTCTGTTTTGTAACTTACAACGAAAGTGTGGACGTTGACGTGACGTGTATGTGTAAGCATTGGCGTGACGGTGTAGACGTTGACGCGTCTTTGTGACAGCGTGGACATTGTGCGATCTTTTGTTAGATACTGACATGAGAGTGTAGGTGTCTTTGTTTGTTGATAATGTCGTTGCGACCGAGTGCAATGTCGTTGCGACCGAACTGAAGTAAGTAGATGCTTGTTAACGTGCATGTTACTGTCATTATTTGACATGGAAACAATGTGAGAGACGTTGATGTGATAGTATAAACGTTAACGTTGTAGTGCGACGCTACAGAGTAAACATCGATTTGACTATGTTATAATCACCGTTACAGTTTTAACAGTTGATGTGATGACATTTGCATTAACATTGTAGTATATCAGTGAGAGAGAGTAGGTGTTGTCAATGTGAAGCGTGGATGCCGACATGGCCACTGACGTTAAATGTAGACGTTTACGTGACAAACATGGCGTTGATATGATGCTCAGGAATAGTGTGCTGTAAATGATGGAGTAAGCGTGCTATATTTACTCCATTTCATGAAGAGTACAAGGTATACACTTGTAAGAAAACATGCATAAGATAATCAAAACTAAAAACACAAGAAATGTATGTTCACATATATGTGATATAATATTGCGTGAGGTATAGATAGGACGAATAGCATTTTTCTATTCACATGTATGGACTTTGTGCAATATAAGAATTGTATATCCTACGAAACTTCGGATGACTTCATCCCATTCCTTGATTGCACGTGCAATATTTATTCCGCTTCTGTAAGAACGTACTGAGCATCCAGCTGATCCCACTGTTTCTTCCGTTGCCTAGGTGACAAGTACTGGCGTTACTCGGCCAACCGGGTGGATTCCACTTACCCAAAACCGATGTCTGTGTGGCGGGGAATACCTCCTGGAGTAGAAGCAGCGTTCCAGTGGAAGAATAGTCGCACTTACTTCTTCACTGGAAGGAAATACTATCGTTTCCATGACAGTAATTTTAGGGTAAGTCCCATTCAGGTGGAACTGTCCCCGTGGTTAGTAGATACACGAGTGAGAGTATCTTTTGAACGTGATATTGAGACGTGGCATAAAATAATACTGTTTACTAGAGACGTGATATAGTGTATTACTGTTTACTAGAGACGTGATATAAGGTAATACAGTTTACTAGAGACGTGCAGGTGATATTGAGACGTGGCATAAACTAATACTGTTTACTAGAGATGTGATATAAAGGTAATACTGTTTACTAGAGACGTGATATAAAGGTAATACTGTTTACTAGAGACGTGATATAAAGGTGATACTGTTTACTAGAGACGTGATATAAAGGTAATACTGTTTACTAGAGACGTGATATAAAGGTACTGTTTACTAGAGACGTGGTATAAAATAATACTGTTTACTAGAGACGTGATATAAAGGTAGTACTGTTTACTAGAGACGTGATATAAAGGTAATACTGTTTACTAGAGACGTGATATTAAGGTAATACTGTTTACTAGAGACGTGATATAAAGGTAATACTGTTTACTAGAGACGTGATATTAAGGTAGTACACTTCAGACGTGATATAGTTGCACTTGTGTCTACTAATCGTGTCCATCACATTCAAGGGCTGTCACAACAGCCATTGTGGACACTCCGCTGAGACGACTTGCGACCATACAATTCCTATGTTAATCCTTGTATCTCTGCAGGCGGACGACGGTTACCCCAGAGACGTTGGCAGCTGGTGGCTAGGGTGCCCGGATGCTGCGCAGATGGAGCAGTTTGGTCAGCTCGGCAACGACATCAATGCGCTCAGAGGAAGGAACACAGAGGATTCTGGGAATCTCCGGAACGAGGCTGACGCGAAAGGTGAAGGTTTTTTGTCTGTGCCTGATCCGCCGAACGGGGTGAACAGCGCTACTGTGATAGGACTCAACAGCCTTGGAAGTCTTCTCGTGTGTTTGTGTGTGTTTCTTCAAAGCCGGTGCAGTTGATGACGTCACGGACACGGGTATAGGCTGTAAGTAAACGTAAACAACAGTGAACTTGTAAATCATTCCACGGACGAGAGTGCACGTCATCTTGGAGGAAGTTCCGTCACAGGCATCACGTGACATGGTCACGTGACCTGCTGAAAGCACAAGCTATGGTGTTGGAAACAGTGACTGCTTTAGTAAAAGTGTTTTTACAATTACTACTCACAAGTCTTTGGCATTTTGCATACCATCCACCAAGAGAAAAATCCGGGCTCGAACCTAGCTCTCGGGCTACTGGGCAAGTTTTAGGTTCGAACCCTGAAATCATTGATCTCGCTACGATCTCCGTCATTTGAAATACACCTTCACTTACGGTCACGTGGATGTTGCTGTCACTCTGTAAATATCATGGACTAGGTCAATCATCACGTGATGTCACAGTAGTCTTTCATGAAACTTCACTTTTGCTATACACTGTGGAGAACTGTGGACCGTAGCATGGTCGTCACATGGCCGTGAAGCACAGTACCTTGGACGCGCATGACTGAATGACATCACTTCCTCTGATATACAGGTGGTGCGGTATCAAAGAGACTTTGACTCAAAGAGAACGGTTCTATAACTGTATGCCACGATCTACAGATAACATGGACACACAAATACTCACATACAGCTATGCCAAACTACCGTGGGCATCTGTGGCCAAACACGTACATGGAAGCCTTGTACCGCCAGAGACGGCGGTTCGTGTCATCTTGACGAAAGAACGATCTGTATTGCTATTTGAAGTGATGCCTTTGTTGGGACAATCTTGTCGAAAAAACTATCTGTACCACCAAATGAAGTGACGTTTTGTTGCATCTCGACGAAGGAACTATGTGCCCGGCTACAAGAAGTGACGTCTTGGATGGAGCCACCTTTACGGAGGAATGATCCCTACCGCTATATGACGTCATGTTGGAGCCACCTTGACGGAAGAACGATCCCTACCGCTATATGACGTCTTTGTGACGTCTTTGTTGGAGCCGTCTTGAATGATAAGAGAACGACCGGACCACTTATAGACTGACGTCATATTGGAGCCATCTTGACGACGTTACGTTGAAAACGTGTGCGGTACAATATTTGTTCCGAGTACATGAATAATTTTCCGTGATGCTATTAACGCGGACATGAGCGCATTTGGACGACATTTAATGCCACTGACGAAAGACTGTTGTGTATAGACTTGCATGTACATTTTCATCTTTGATATATTTTACATTTTGTTTAGCTATATATTAAATCATCTTGTTATTACAAAACCCTCTAGCTCTCTACATTGTAATCCCGATCTGCATAACACTATGTCCTATACCGACCTGATTACAATAGGGATGTACCCCAGATGACAACATTGATTACTACAGATTTTAGTGAGTGAGTGAATTGTGTTTTACGCCTTTCTACAATAATATATTCAGAACAATGTGATCGAAAAGCCCAAAGTAACTAAATACAGTACCACTTTTGCGAAATCCACAAGCATAGGTGTAGTTAGAAAGACTACCGTTAAGCCTGTGTAAAGATATAGTTGACGGGTGAACACTGCCACTGTATAGGTTTATATGTCGGCGTTTATTAGTTGGGAGAGGAGATAGTCGATTCTCTGATTCTTTCAAAGGCGTTATATGAAAAGCGTACGGGTCCTAGGATTCTCACCTTTAGGAACGTGTTTCTCTAAGACTAGTCCAGAGGACTAGTGTAGTATAACCATATTTCATTTGTCTTCATAGTTTGAAGCAAGTCCTGCTTGAATGACACGAATATGTTTTCTGTTAACCTTTTCATCCATTTTTAGCTTTTGAAGCATTGAGAGCTGGTTGAAAATTTTAGCTCTTAGATCCAACTTAGCATCCAGGACTACCCTTGATTTAACGTGTTCTCAGCAAAATTAATTTGTCTCGGGCATACGGACTAGCATCAATTTCGATACGATCTCTCCCGACACACCATTCTCAGAGACAAATATGCTTTCTGTTAACCTTTTCTGCCAGTTAATTTTGCTCCCATTTTTAGCTTTTGAAGCACTGGGAGCTGGTTGAGAATTTTAGCTCTTAGATCCAACTTAGCATCCAGGACTACCCTTGATTTAACGTGTTCTCAGCTAAATTAATTTGTCTCGGGCATGCGGACTAGCATCAATTTCGATACGATTTCTCCCGACACACTGTTCTCAGTGTTTGACCTTCACCCTGAAAAGCTGCAGGTCGTAGAGATCCAGAACCAGTTGCGGGTCCTGGTCAGAATGTGTAGGCCCTATATTTTAGCTACAATATGAGTAATTCCCAGCAAACAAAAACTATGACAACAAACAAACTGAGTTAAAGAGTTTAATTTAGAAATTTAAACTAGAGATTACTGAATGATATTTTCGGAAAAATAACACTTTTAGTTATTGGGGATGAAAAAGCTGTCGGCCATAAGGACCTGCAGAAAACAAAAGCTGTTGGTCCGAGTGGTTTTCAGTCGGCTTCAGGCCTAAGGACCGACGTTAATTTCGAACGCTGTCCGTCATACAGAATGAACTTGACAAATTGACGGTAAACCCTTTTCACTCACTCCTAGTACGTTATCAACAATTATACAATACATGTACATATAATGACATTATATGAAATACACTGATACCCCTAGATAGTATAGCGAGAGTCCATTTGAAGCAGTACAATTACAAGGTTCTGTACCTTACCTGCCTTTATTCAATCATCCTACTGAATTGTGTTTTAGGTGCATCATGTACTGCTGCTGGTCACGTGGTCCAGTCACGTAATGTCCTAACGTCATAAACTATCGTTTTGGTGAGTGTGCACTTAATTTTACACACTGCTGCTCAATACAAACGAAGTCTTTTTACAGAAAACTTGTGGCGATGGTCGTACAAAATACCATTCCTTTGGAAAAAGGTGCCCTCTTACTTGGGTATAAGGTGACCTACGCTTGTCGTAACTTATTTCATTTGGCGTAGAATTGCAAAAATCTTAGCAACGACTGGAATATGACGGGTCTCAATGTAAGATCGATAGAAAAATTAACTTCAATTTCGACCGGATGTTAAACTCAATTCCAAGAAGTCTTCTTAACGGTGTCGTAACTCTTACTTATACACGTACTTACGACAATGCTGTGCCACGCGGACATAACGCATGTTCAAACCTGTCCATAGCTCTTCTTTTAAGTTACGCTCTGAACTTTACCGCTGCATTCAGTAAGTAGAACAGGCACCGAAAAAGGCGGATCACGTGACTGATTGGTACAGGTGCACCTAGGACTGCGAGTTTCAAGGCCAGATCTGTCTTGTTATCTCGCTAGCGTCAGCACTCAGGAAATAGTTGCTTGTACAAACACATCGTCCATCTAGGTTCCAGTATTTATGTCATCGTTCATATTTCCCGCGTGCTGGCGCGCGAGAACTATTTTTATACGTCGTGAATGTAATAAACTTTCTAGCCAACCTACGCCTGTGTGTTGTCAGTAAAGGAACTTCCCTTTTCACTCCTTCTTATGAATATTGCTGACACAAAAAGTGGGAATCAAGAATCCATCTGTTTCTTGTGGAAATGTATTTAAAATGATCTTGTTTTGATACATGAAATCTTTGCGTGTGTGATTGCAGGAGTGAGTGAGTGTAGTTTAACGCCACACTGAGCAATATTCCAGCTATGTGGCGGCGGTATGTAAATAATCGAGTCTGAACCACACGATCCAGTGATCAACAACATGAGCATCGATCACGCAATTGGAATACGATGGTGTTTGTAGGACGGTCAAACTCCCGTCAAGCTAATTTTTGGTGACAGAATGCGGGTCTCCTGTCGAACCTGTCTTCCAGTCACGAGTAATGGATTTGCCGTCACATCTGTGTTCGAGTATAGGGTGAAGGTCACACATGTGTTCGAGTAGTGAGTTTACCGTCACATCTGTGTTCGAGTAGTGAGTTTACCGTCACATTTGTGTTCGAGTAGTGAGTTTACCGTCACATTTGTGTTCGAGTAGTGAGTTTACCGTCACATCTGTGTTCGAGTAGTGAGTTTACCGTCACATCTGTGTTCGAGTAGTGAGTTTACCGTCACATCTGTGTTCGAGTAGTGAGTTTACCGTCACATCTGTGTTAAATAAGTGAGTTTACCGTCACATCTGTGTTCGAGTAATTTGTAAGGTTCACGCATGTGTTCGAGTAATGGCTCTTCCGGGGTTTAACTATTAACACATTTGCCTTCGGATAATGAGTCTCCCTCACGCCTATGCTCTATGGTGAACAAACAAGTTCCACACCATGTTGATTTCCACTAAGCTTAGGACAAGTCAGAACCTATCCTAGTATTTGTCCTAAGTTAGGATGTCCTAGCGCTAGGATACTTTTCGAGAATAAGGTAGGACACCTATCCTAGACCCTAGGATCAAAGTTAGGATATCCTAGGGCTAGGATCCTTTCGATAATAGGGGCCCAGATCATGAGGTCTTCAGGTACGGGGACGTTGGGACGAGAGGGTGACTGCTATGTGCCCGAATTATCTCTGCTCTGTGTAATCCGACGTCACTGTCGATGCTCACAAACACACACAACTTGATCTGGCCCACGTATATTTACACAGTTCAAGGCGTAACCCTTAATCATTGTTTTCTGCGACATGAACGTCGCTGCCTCCAAAGCTGCTACCTATGGAGATTCCACGGCAGCTGGGAGTCCTCAGGAACACAAGAGCTAAAGGGATCGTGTGGATTGACTGTACCATCTTGCTGATTTATGCCACAGTACCCCAAATTCATGGGGCATTTCTCGCACTATCGGTCACTGCTTTGTTTCTCCCGGAATGGATTATTTGGTGTGTGGTGCTGTACATAGAGCTCAGGTCACAAATCAGTTGAAGGTAAGCAACGTTGAGCACAGAGAGATCTTGGATGGGTGACCGTGTTAGGCAGCTTGACTCCTGAGAGTTTCTACCCCACAACGAAACACATGCGATACACGTGGTCTCACCTTAGGCAAGTGAGTTTGTTAAAAAATGCCTAAGTTCACAAAGTAGAAAATGGGTACCCGGTGAGATAAGTCATGTGACTATAACCTTATATCGCCTCACACGCAGCTTGGGTTACCAGAGGTAATGATAATCAGATTGGATTCAGCGTCCAGCAAGCAACTAGACAGATAGTAACCAGGCGATTATAAATCAACTGTTATTGTTTATTATTACAAGTTGCAGCACCCCCCTCGTCGTAGCTCATAATATCAACCACTCGTTTGTCTGGTCCTGGCTGCATTATTCACTTGCGGCAGTTATTCAGGTGGAATATCCTTGGTCGTGAATCTCTGCTTCAAGCCATGAAGACTACTGAACTTATAGCAACCTGAGTCGTCACCGCCTATGGCTTGCACAAATCTCAAAGATAATAACTGTTTGTAAATAACATAATTTCTAGATTATGTAGACCATACGTTGTCGCTACAACGGACTGGCGCCCTACGAAGTAAAATGAACCCTTATCTAGACTTGCCTTTTGCAAGGATAGCATCAACGTACAGCCATGAGTTTAATGTAGTCATGGAAACGAATAAACGAACATACGAAAGTGCAAGTGTTCCAGTACACTTTTCAGGGTTTCTTGTCATGCTTTAAATTGCACTGTGGGGGAAAATCTGGCTTTCATGTTTTCCATTATTTGTTTCCATGAGTATATGATAATTTCTAGATTATGTGTATAATAAGTTGTCGCTACAACGGACTGGCGCCCTTCGAAGTAGAATGAGCCGTTATTGAGACCCGCCTCTGACAACTGCAGAAGTACCGTAAATCCATGAGTGAGTGAGTTTAGATTTACGCCGTACTCTGCAATATTCCTGCTATATGGCAGCGTCTGTAAACAATCGAGTCTGGACCAGACATCCATGAGCAGACTAGTAGCAAGGCTTAGTGTTGTGCGACAACGCCCAAGTCTCCAGCACCATGCCGAGCTGCAACGTCGCCGTGCAGCCGTATGAAGTCGTTTAATGTACGTCTAACAGCGCGATGAAGGTGGTGTATCTCCCCTTGGGGAGGCTGGACTGTTCTTTGAGGTCTACATTTTACTGATACAGAAACAAAGGCCTCGGCTACAGGAGAGGAACATGAAATCCGCCCGGCCCCAGTTAGTTCTTTTCAATCAAATCTCAGGCTGAGGACGCCTCGCGGGGACACAAAGGAGTCTCTATACCCCAAAACGACTTAACTTTATAAATCGGATTTATTCCGCTTATTCAGCGAGATTTGATCGTAATACCGGCCTC